TTTGACTCAGGCGTATAAATAGTGGTATAATACGCGATATAACAAACAACACATAATGTCACGAAGAAAGTCTTATTGTGGAAAAGTGTCATTTGATATTCTTCGCTCAGTTTTTTGGCTGTAAAACAGGTAACGATTATATTTCTTTATGTTCGACTAAGAGAAATTAATGACATATAATTTTAATTTAATCAGAATCTGGAAATTCTTGTTCTACACTTCTTGATATGACTATGGGCGTTATAACATTTTGTACGAAGCATCTTCACACTAAAAAGAACATGTTATTTTTATTACAACAATGGACTGTTGAATTTAATTTCAACTAAATGTATTTTTGCGGTTTATGAAGACTATTGTATTACTGAAGATGGCCAGATTGTGGCCGAAACGTTTAATGTTTTAATTAATATAATAATAAGTAAATATCACAAATTATAACCTGTGGTGTAGTTCTTTATGCTCTTTTTGTATCTTGTTTTTTAAATTGATAACCACGTGAATTTTTTAACTTATATAATAAAATTAAGTTTTACTAAAAAATTAGATCAAATTTTTTCGGAGACGCTATATTGTGTAGACTATTATATTTGTATACGATAAAGTATTTTCGTAATAAAGTATGCATTTGTGTATGTGTGCTGTGTGCCTATGTGTCTGTGTGTCTGTCTCTATCTGTCTGTCTGTCTGTCTGTCTGTCTGTCTGTCTGTCTCTGTCTGTCTCTGTCTGTCTGTCTGTCTGTCTGTCTGTCTGTCTCTGTCTCTGTCTATCTCTGTCTGTCTGTCTCTGTCTGTCTGTCTGTCTGTCTGTCTCTGTCTGTCTATCTGTCTGTCTCTGTCTGTCTGTCTCTGTCTGTCTGTCTGTCTGTCTCTGTCTGTCTGCTGTCTGTCTGTCTGTCTGTGTGTGTGTGTGTGTGTGCGCGTGCGCGCGCGCGCGTGCGTATATTATTAAATTACAATTTCACATTTAATTACAAATTTTCATGCAATATATTATTTTTCCATACGTAATTATTCAATTATTATACAATTTTCATATAGTATTTAATCAATTATTATTTTTAATTTACTTATTAGTAAATTAAAAATAAAAGGAATACACAACAGAGAATAAGAATTTCAACCTATCAGAAATCATGTATAGTGGAATATGCAGTTTCTGATAGGTTGAAATTTTTATTCTCTGTTCTCTGTTCCCCGTTCCTTTCATTGTGCTGTTTAATCTTTCACATTACTGTTTAATATTATTATTAGTATTAATATGAATATTATGCCCATGTATTAATATCTTTAAAGCAATGCTCCCAAAGATTTGCACATTTCGGGCTGATTCCGACGAGTGATCTTCACTACCGCTCGAAGCTCGGCGGCCGAGCTGCTGAGTGCTCACGCTCTAGCTCAAGAGCGTCCCTATACCAGAAATATACTGACAGCGCACCTTCCGCAAAATTATTATTGAAACATGTTTTTTATTAAATAATTTATTTCAATTAACATAAAAATTTCCATTGTTAATTTATTCATTGTCCTTAATGATATACTTATATCTTAACGTAGTGTTTTCTAATATATTACATAATTATGATAATGTATTTCGACAAGATCTTTCCACATCACCCGTGAAGTACTATTGTAAGATGCATTTTTTTAAATGTGATTTCCCCAGGCTTATTCCACAAAAAGAAGAATAGAAAAAAAGAATCAAAATTATACAATTATACAATTGTAATATGATATATAATTTTGCTTTCTTGCCAGGCCACATTCGAGTATTTCATTCTTCTTTTTTGTGGAATAGATCTATTGGTGGAAATCACATTAAAAAAAACGCATCTTACAATAATACCTCACGGGTGATATGGAAAGCTATTGTCGAAATGTACGTTATCATAATTATGTAGTGTACGAGGGCAAATCAATAAGTACCCGTGTTTCGAGACAGGCGACGTTGCTGATGCAAGTTGGCATTACCATCGTGTACTACCATCTTTCAAACGACGCCATACAAAATTTCAGAGTGATTCATGCAATAGTCTTGATTTAATAGCAATTCGTAGTGAGCGTGTTTTCCGATACAATGCTGCGATCAGGACAATGCACCGGCTCACTCCTCCGCAGTTGCCACAGCCAAATTGATCGAATTGCGCTACGAATTGCTGCTACATCCACAGTACTCTCCGGATTTAGCCCCCTGTGACTTCTTCTTGTTTCCAAACTTGAAAAATGGCTCGGTGGAAAGAAATTCATGTCGAATGAGGAGGTCATCGCCGAAACAGAGGTCTATTTTGCAGAGTTTGACAAATCGTATTAGGTGTTGGAATTAATTCGTAGCGTTTTACAAGTGATGGGAAGTACTTTCATTAATGTATTTTTTAATGCTCATGTGAAATAAATAACATTCTTTCATTAAAAAACGCTACGAATTAATTCCAACACCTAATATTTCTCTGAGGGATTAAAAAAATGGCAGAAGCGTTGGGAAAAGTGTATTCTTCTAAAAGGGGATTACGTTGAAAAATAAAAAAAATTTTTGTGAAAAGCTTGTGTTTTCATTACTAACACGGATACTTATTGATTTGCCCCTGTATTAGAAAACTACGTTAAGATATAAGTATATCATTAAAGAACAATGAATAAATTAACAATTTTATGTTAATAGAAATTATTTAATAAAAAACATGTTTTAATAATAATTTGGTGAAAGATGCGCTTCCAGTATATTTCTGGTATAGAGACGCTCCTGATCCAGAGCGTCACGTGAGCGCTCGGCTCGCTTCGCCTCCTCTTTTCCTGCCTTAGCGCGTCTTTATCTCAGGGCTGTTCCAAGGCACTTCCTTAACTATCAGCCTTGAGCGCCTGACTCTCCTTACTTCTCTATCTTTGGCGCGCTCTTACTCGGGGTCGTTCCATACTACTTCCCTATTCACTTAGGGCTGGGCTTACCTTTGGGCGTCCACTTCTCTCCGCTCCTATCACAACTACCCCCGTGCTTCCTCGAATAAGGACATTTTCGCCGCCAAAAAGAAAGGAGAAGTTGTCTCCTCCTCCCCTTTTTTCCTCGCAGGCTTTATTTCATTACATTATTTCATTTTACGCCAATTATCAACCCAATTATATCGGTTAATTTCACGCTACACACACACACACACACACACACACACACACACACACACACACACACACACACACTCTCTCTCTCTCTCTCTCTCTCTCTCTCTCTCTCTCTCTCTCGGACGTCCAGTAATTTTGTTTATCGTCACCGTAGATGCCAAGATCGAACGCGGAGGAAGCGCTAATTACGGCGGCTCATAAAAGTACTGCATCAATACGGGAATTTCGACCCTAGTACTCGAGACTGGGTCAGTCTCCCTCGAGCCCCCATTCATCACGGCTCCTCTGGGTACCTCGCATCGCCGAGCCAGTCGCGGAACCAGTACCCTGAATATCAAGGGAGATCCCTTGCCATCCTCCACCGGATACGTTGAGGCCCTCGATAGATCAGAGTCCTTACAAGGCCAACCAAGGTCACCGAGAAGCCCCGCGTTGCGAGCATTGAAACAACGGGAATAAAAATAAAAATTGTTAAATGAATTATCACTTCTCTTTCTTCTTCACCATTCTTTTCCCGGTTTTCCTAAAAGGCTCTAAGGGATGATAATACTCGCATTGGCGAGGGCAATCCTCTCGCAATAGGGAACAGGGAATTACGCACCATCCAATGAGAACTTCGGGATATAAGTTCGATAACATCGGACATAATCTATACTAATACAAACGTACCACTATAAAGATGCATGAAGTTCATGAGACAAAAAATGTGGCACAGGAAATAGGAATAATTTTCCGCGTTGGAATTTTATTGTCTGCTTTCTGTGCCTTCTTGACTAATATTTTTTGAGGTTATATTTTCATTCGTGAATTTAGTTTTGGCGAATTTCAATTTAAAAGACATGACATTCAATCACGATTATGCCAGAAAAAAAATTTCACGATTCACTGGAGGATAGTAATTTTGAAGATGTAGACGACTTTGATACAAAACACTTGACACAAGATCGAAAATATGGGTACGAGCTTTTAATAGATTTGATTCAATCTAGACCATTTCTTTATGATAAAAAGATTAAAGAATTTCGAGATACTATCATGAAAGAAAGTGCATGGGCAGAGATGGCTTCTATTTTAGGAATTTCAGGTATGTACATTACAATTTAACTGAATAATATGTTTTTTAAATAATTTTTTCAATAACTAAGTACATATATTAAATATTACTTTTTAATATACTTTATTAACTTATTAACTTATAATACTATTTAATATAAATAAACTATTTAAATAGTTCTAATTACATATTTACTTAAATCAATTAATGTCTTTTGCTAGCATATGTATTAGTATCAAAAGTTAACATTCAGATCAGATGTTTATTTATACTCTTCTTGTTAAAAATATTTTTTTTTGAAATGTTATGTATAAATATCTAATATTACAATTTATGAATGATGATGACAATATTTTATGTATTATGTAGTTTCAGATTGTCAAACACGTTGGACATGTCTTCGTCAATGCTTCAAAAAGAGGCAATTACGAGAAAATGAAACAAGAAGTGGGGCAGGAAAACAAAAATGAATTCTATTTGACAATTTAAATTTTTTAGAGAAGATTGTTACTACAAGAAGGTTAATTTTATGTTTTATAAGAATTATTACAGACTTTTACTTGAACATATCTTATAAGTATATATTTTATAATAAAGTATATATTTTATTTAATATATTTTATATTTTGTTTATATACATATTTTATTTTCACATGATTTCAAAACTTGTTCTAATATTACCAAAAAAATCAATTTGTGTATGAACATCCAATCTTTTATAGAAAAGTCCGCACAAAAGGAAATGTATGATGAAATACGGTACGACAAATATGTTCCCGGACATGAACCACATCTCAGCAACC